GACAAGCCAGCACAGGGAAAACCCACTGTACAATAACCAAGATGCATTTTGCATTTCAGAGAGAGTGCTCTTCACATGGCAGAACATCCTGCCCGAAGGGATAAAGCAGACATCTGATGCCTTTTAAGGCAGTCCTGACACAATGCCTACAAGTCAAGCTCCTTAGGAAAGGGGGATTTCATTTTTTCTGCTAAACTCTTCATAAAACCAATCCCTGCCATCTGCACCTGCTGAAACCACTCAGCATACTCCTGTCTTCTAAAACTGGGCTTCTCTAGTCAATGGGATCCAGCACAAGAGAGTTTGGACACCTGCTGGGGACGTTCTGGTGCTACTGACACACAAACCACAACTTTTCTTCCTCTAATCCACAAAGACAGCCAGACACCTCACAGCCTTCGGTGACAGCAAATCCTCCTGAGACAGCTGGAAGTGTGCAGCACAGCATCCTTGGCTCTGACTGCTGTGACAAGTCTTCCAGCCACTTTCACTGGATCTAGAGTAAGGAGTCCCACCATTTTCTTCTTCTAGCTGCTTCCTTGAGGTAAAGCAGCAAAATCAGTCTTCTTTCCTGCTGTATGACCCAGGTGGTGGTGCTTCAGAGCACCAGTAACAGCTGGATGAACTGGAACAGCAACTAGCCTTGTGATCTGTCAAAAAGCAACTAGTGGCCAGCACAGACATGTGAGACCCAGGCTTTAGCAACAAGCAGACCTGCCTGTCTGCAAGCCTATGGCTTGCTTTCCTCTGTGCAAGTTTGACACCAGTGAGGAAGGTCACATGCAGGTATTGAAAACAACCAAAATACATCCGGGACCTCTTCCAAGGGGTTTGCTAAGAAACAAAGCAGAAAAGACATCATCACTTTTGAGTAATACGTGGAAGCTGCAAGGTTCACTCCAATAATCTTTGTACAGACCTTTCTGTTTTCAAAATTATCTGCCAGCTTCTCAAAGACAGAACAAGATACGATCTTCTTAAGGTGCTGATCCATCTGTAGCAAGTTGATGAGTAGTAGCACAGCTGAGAGCTTCACCACTTACCTAACATTTCCAGCAACAAAACTCTGTTTTGAGATCCTTTGATATTTACATTGATTTTTAAAAATGAACAAGCGTTTTTATCTGTTGACAGCACCTTCACTATATCAGACATAGTCACTTACTAGACCCACTACCTGCAGATGCAGGGCGAAGCAGGTCTGGTGTTACTCCTCAAGAAACAGTGAGCTAGAGATGTTACATGATCAAATGTTTTTCACAACAGATGAATTTTTTTTTTGTGGGAATGAACAATTTTGCTCATTTCATCAGCCTTTTCTGTATTGAGACTTATTTTTAGCATTGACAAGACCTAGCTCACCAAGTTAACATACACAAAAGATCTTTTACAATAAATTAGTATGACAATAAATTAGATACTTACAATATGTGGAATCACCTGAAAGCAGGACCTGTTTAATTTTACATGGAAAGATGTTTCAGGGGTGTTCTTGACCTTTCACACATACTGCTGAAGGGAATATCAGATGGCAGATCCTACACAATGGTAGGGAATAAGGAAGAAGCTGAATGCCCTTGGGTTGCTGCTAACCCATTGCACAGAGAAATGCTCTAGGCTCTATATCAACCACTATAAGATGCCAGAAGAGGATCTCCTCAGCCATGCTTGGTGAGCGCTGCTTTCTGTGTAACTGAGGGCCCAGCTGCCCATTGCATGGCTGGTGACAACGATCTAGCTCTCGGGGATGCCACCAAAAACACTGTGCACAGCTCCAACTCACTGTGATTTGGATTTATTTTCTTTTATTCTCCATCAGGAGCTGTTTAGAGAGAAGATTTAGTGACTATGGGAAAGAAAAAAAATGTGTGAAAATGGGAACCTGAAGAAAGTAGCAAGGGGAAGTCATCAGAAATCTAATAGCAAGAATGCTTCAGGTTTATTGAGAAGCAGAACTATTCTTCTCTCTGCCACAAGCCAAGTTGTTGAACTATGCTATTTCCCTTCAGCTAAAAAACAGCTTAATCATACAGATTTCAATTATGTAAGCAATGAAAAAGAATTGTTTCCCCTCTGAGGAAGCAGCTCACTGCTTCCTCATCAGAGAAAGAGGAGGAGCAGGCACTGACCTCTTCTCTCTAGTGACCAACAATAGGACCCGAGGGAATGGTAGGAAGACATGCAGGAGGAGGTTTAGGTTGGACATGAGGAAGAGATTCTTCACTCAGAGGGTGGTGGAGCTCTGGAATAGGCTCCCCAGGGAAGCAGCAATGGCACCGAGCCTGACAACATTCAAGAAACATTTGGACAACACCCTCAAAGACACGGTGTGAGCTTTGGGGTTGTCCTGTTCTGGGGTGGGAGCTGGACTTGGTGATCCAGGCTGCCTGAGGAGGTGGTTGAGCCACCATCCCTGGACACATCTAAAAAGACAGATGTGGTGCCAAGGGACAGAGTTTAGTGGAAGACTCGGCAGAGTTAGGGTAGTGGTTGGACTCTATGAACTTGAAGGTCTTTTCCAACCAGAGTGATGCTGTGTGATACTGTTTTTTGTTTGTGGGGTTTTTTTAGTTTGTTCTTTCCCCCCCGCCAAAAAAAAACACAAAAAAAACATTGGCAAAACTGGCACGTTTTTCCTATTATTTTAATTTACTTTTATTTGTGCCAAAAGTAATTTCTGACCTCAAACACATTCTCCAAAAGTGGCAACTGAAATAGAAAGTGAGACTTATGATCAGGTAAGACCCCTCCTGGCTAGTGCTTTCCTTCAGTTCCTTCTTGGTCTATAGGAATTCCCAGCCAACATAGAACACAACATCTGGGAAGTCTCACCACAGCCTTTCAGGGAAAAGAAACTAAAAGAGAAGGATCTCAACAATCACAGTGGCATAGGAATATGTGAAAAAAAAAAAATGTTGAAAGGCCAGTCCAGCCCTTCCCCACATACCCCAGCAATAATTCCAGGCAGGATTTATTCTAGTAATAAAAATACCTAGAGGATACAGTTATCCTAACCCTACAGAAGTGGCAGCACCAGGAGGGCCAAGAGAAGGGACCAGCTGTCACCTCTTACCTGCCTGCCCGGAGCAATCCGGGTGTGGAGCATGTTCTGTGGGATCACAAATGGGCAATTTTGTTAGCCTAAGACTTGGGAGCAGATGAAAGCTTGGGTCCACCATCCCCCAACACACTTGCCAGAGAAGTTGAGCTGGTACAGGGTGGGGAAGTTAACAGTGCTAGATAAAGGAGTGGTATTAAAATCTCTGTTCGCCTGGAGCGGTGAAGAAACCAAGAGAGGGAATAGCGACTCTCCAAGGGGATACAGCTGCATGCCACTCCTTCCTGAGGGTGAGCTGTGATACTATGCTCTTACCTGCTGCATTCATGCCCAGGGAACTATAAACCAGAAGAAAAACCAGGGAGTTTTATTTATTTGTTATTACCAAGCCATCTTGCAGCATTCTTTATCTGTGATTTAATGGCTCTTCTACCATTTGTAACTTCTGTGATTTCAACCAGAGGGAAAAAATGTGATAGAATTTTGCATGACTCACAAGTCTTGTGAAATACTTAAAAATGGCTCATCTTTCAGGCTTTTAAACCAGACTGAGGCAGTGAAAACCTGAATTTTGTAAAATGGCTTCAACACTGTGCTTCCATAAAATATCCTTTGTGTTTTTAATGGTCATGTTCTTTTGAACAAATAAACTGCTCTGGAGAATCTGGCAAATATCTACCTGTTTGAGCCAGCAAAGGTGTGTTTCTACATTCTTGGTTACATTCTTACATACCTGCACAGAGCTTCAGGCTTTTTTTTTTTAATCAAGGCCAAATTTTCAATCAGCAAAGTAGATCTGCAGATCTGGAATTACTAAGGCAATAAGAAATATTACCTGAAGCTTCCATACACTGTTACTCTGCTCTCTGAGACCCACTCTCAGTTTCTGGGGCCAAACTCAGCTGGTGTGAATTTTCGTGGGGCCACCAGGAAGCTGATTGTCAGAGATCCCTCACCTTTACTTCCAGTAAGCAATTGCCAGATGGATTTTCCCTTCTACTTTGCTTCAATCTACTTGTGTGCTTTCTCCTGCACTCGTATCTCATTAGCACTTAGGAGGTATTTGCCAGGACCTCCTCAATGAGAAGCGAAATAAGCAGAGCTGCAAACTTCTCATGCCCTTCTATACACATTTTTGCAGCAGGGATATTCTTTTAGTTGCAACAGTGATGCTCTGGGCATCACAGGCACTGAGCCCATCTTCTGTTCACTTCCTAAAACACCAGAGCCCCCTACACCCTCTCAAGCTGTGTGTCCTTTCATCTTTCCAACCATCTTTCTGGCCACAGGAACACGAGTTTTGAGCTTTCTAGCTTTGAAACGCCTGCATTGTTCACTGCAGTGCCAACCTTAGCCAAGGGCTCAGCCACTTCCCCTGGGACAGAGGGGCTTTGTAAGGAGGGGACAAACTAAGGAGGCAGCAAGAGAGAGCAGAGGCACAGCCCTGTGGATGGTCCTTCACTACGACTTTGAAAAAGAAAACTGCAACCAACACACAGAGTAACAGGCTACAGACTCTAAATGATGGCATCTGAAAGCCCTGACCTTTCCCACGTCAGGGAGAATTGTGCTGCTGTTCCCTGTAACCCCTCTACAAGGTTTACTAATAACAACTAGTAACAGTAATTATTAGCAACAATAATAACAATAACAATTATGATAATCGTGGGTTACAGAACAAATTCTGAGTTCTTACTATCATTCATCAGGAAAGGAAACACATCACAACTGTCTCCTTTAGAAGTGCTGGGAAAACTTGTCATAGTTAAGAATGAAAGTATTAGGCAGATGTGACATTTAATATCTGAACTGCCATCAGGCAGGAAACTGCATTGTGAAATTGCATTGCATTGTTCCCCAAGCTAACAAAGAGAAAAAAAATAGTGACAGTGAGCACTGGTAGCTTTAGCAGCACTATGTGCTGGAGCCCCTGACACCCGAGATGGTTCCTGTGCCACAGCATCCCTTGGGCAGCAGCTGGGAAGGTGAGCAGGCTTCACAGGGGGTTCCTGGCCCACTGCATCAATGACTCTGCAAGCTTCTAGGCCAAACTATGTGGGATGACAAACCAAATGAAAA